CCAGAGATCCTACTTAGTCCTATCAGTCTTCTACCTTAAGCCTGCAGGGTGTAACCTTTCCTGGCAAGAATCATCCTTGGCTACACAGTAGGGGCCAAGCAATAGAAAAATAGCCAGTGGCTATTTTAAAGGGGTATATTGCCAAAATAATGATAAACAATATTGGCTTTTAGTATTTTAATTTTATATGCTAATTGTTTTGTCAAAACTATTGTAGAGTGCTTTTATAATAGATATGATTGTCAGTTCTAAACTGTAACGCTTCTGAAACTCAAATAAATGGCCGACACTTACATCACTGGGTTGGTGCTGTCCAGGAGTCATTAATTACTTCTTATTTTTCAACAGTTATTATCATTAAAAAAGAAACTGTAGATCTCCAATATCGGTCAACTGATATATTGATCAGGCTCTACTGGAGACAAACTTCTGGGAGTTTCCCAAATACGTGTACACTCTAAAAAAGATGGTTCTTCAGGGTTCTTTAGTAAAGGGTGTGTTTCTATATAGAACCATGAGTTCTATATACAACAACTTGTATCCTTAAAAAGAACTTTACATTGTATATAGAGCATTTCCTTTTACCGAAGAACCCTTGAAGAACTATTTTTTTAAGAGTGATAGAGTTTTAGTTTACATATTTAGCGCAGCAGTGATTCCATGATCCTCCTGATTAACTGAAGGGCTTTGTGGGTGAATAAATCAGATCACCTGACAACAAACAAACTTTGGCCTTAAACTTAAACACCAACACCATGTGACAGTGATTGTCCTCACAAAGAAATCTCTAACTTACTCTTCATCCAAGGACAGGAAAGCATTGTGGTTACTCTGATAAAATTGAAAGCACGAAATAGGAATTCACTTGTTCATATTGTTAGTATTGCTAGGTAGATTAAATATCGCTGTTGACAACAATATCTGTGATCTCTTATGCATATAAATCACTTGGGTATTCTAGTGGTAGGATGGTGTTGCACAGGGTTTTCTACATGAGTGCTCTTCAAGAGCAGCCAATGACCTCGATTTCTACCTCTTAATCCTTTTAAGACAAAGGAGGGAACAAATCCCAAAAAGAAGGACATGGTCAACCGGGCACCACAAAAACGTATTTATTTATTTATGTATTTATTAGTTCTTAATCTTACACCTTGAACTGATTTCTAATTGGTATGTACCAACATAAGGCCCCTTTAGAATTTAAAGGGTTAAATTAATACTGTAAACTGCTACTCCTTATCAACCTTGTACAGTGATGTAGCAGACTGCAATTTTTCTCAGTAGGAATCATCATCTGTGGCAATACGCAATTGCACTGGAGACCAAATGTCTTCTGAGGATCCCCCTAGCCTTACATTTCAGACTTCTTACCATCGTCAGAGAGTTTGGTGGATTTTGTTTCTCAATGTGGCCAAAGAAGACAGTTCCCTCATTTTTGGAGTCAGATGATAATTTTGGAGAGGTCACAAGATGGTTTCAAAAAAGGTAAATTGCCTATTTTATTAATGCTTTTTTAAAGATTTTTGTGCCATAAAGCCCCCCACATGAATTACTTCACATTATTTTGGCAAACACCAAAAAGGTCACACTTTATAAAACTGTTTCATAATTAATAGGTAATTACATTGGGACAAACTAATAGTCCTGTATTAACACTTAAGTCACTACTACCAAAGAATACTGGTTAATTAGTCATGATAAAACTGATAGTTCACATCCTTATATCCAATTGACTGAGCTAAGTTGGAATCCATCATGTAATACTTGATATAGACACATCTCTGACCTCATCACAACAACTGAATTCTGTATTACTGCACCAACTCATGTAAAATCATTGTGCTGTTAAAGGAATACTCTTTAAATACTCTTTGACTGTAATGCTGCTCACATATAAGAACATGGTTTGGTTTACTTTTCATTTTTATTTATTTTTTTTTCACTCTTAAGCACTTTGTTTTTCTTTCTGATGTTCTTTCTGTTTTTTTTTTATGAAAAGCACACTGAATTGCTTTTGTGCATGAAATATGATATATGATATATATGGGCTGATAATGTATTTTCTTAACTAGAACTAGGCTAGCTAACATGCTAAGTGATAACTAACAGGCTAAACAACTCCTCCATTATCACAGGCTTTGAATTAAAGTATTTAGTATATGATTCACTGTAAAACTGCAATATAAAAGACTAAAGAAAATGTCACTTGAATGTCCTACATGCTTCAAATGTCCACATTTTAGTCAGATCTGCCTTCTTCCTATATAACATGCTATGTAAGTAAGAATTTCTGGCTTCTACACCTGAGTAGTGCACTATTTGTCCAATATAGTATTGTATATGACTGAATCTAAAGGAGCTATGCTTCTTGGTGAAATAATTGCTTTAAAAAATAAAATCATTAAAAAAATATTTACTGCTCACTGTTTTATAATAGCCACTTGAGGTTGTGCATTACAGTGATTTTATCACAAATAAGTGGGTTTTTTAACCTTATGCCTCATATCACCCTTATCCATGATAAAATCACTGTAACACTCAACCTCTAGTGGCTTATTTTTTAGTAATTGATAGGAAACTAAAGTTTATGGTAATTCAGTGTAAATTAAACAATAATTACAGAGTCTTACGTATTTCCCACATAACTACTAACTAACGATGGCTTCTTCATATCTAATAAAAACAATAATAATCAGTATTCATAGAGCACTTTTTAGACTGATAAAGCTTAATAATAATAGAAGTATTGAAAGTTGTCTTCAGTAACTGTTATAGAGTAAGAATGTGCATTGAGGTTTGTATACCAAAAAAAAATTAAGAAAGAATGGATGACATGACAAATTTTAGTTTTTATAGTTTTACACACCTCTTTCAGAACTATGAAATGCAGTATTTCAGCACTTCATTGTCTGTAATATAAAGTCATAATCTTTTTTACTGTTAACACAAGAAGATGTGCTCTTGGTTAGTAGCAACTTTAAAAGGCTAACACACGTATACACATATAAATTATGGGACACTTGCTAAAACACTACAGTATCTAGTAGAATAGTTTCCTTACCTTCAAAATGAAACATTTTTTAAAGCATTAAAATATTTTTGAGTTGTGAAAAATGAAAATTTCCACAGGTTTTAACAGTCATATCTGGCAACTCATAATAAACTGTTTTCGTTAATACAGTTAAATTGAACAGCGACGACAAATGAGCTAAGCACTTCCTTCGTGCATACCGATACCTCACCCTGATCTCCACCCACACGCTGTCTGAACACATCAGGTCTGATCGGCAACATCTTTGGAGCTTGGAGCTTGCTGTCCTTTCATTGGCTTTCAGAATGGAATCTTTTTCATTTTTTCAGTTTACAAACTTCAACACAATTTTACTCTATAAAATTTATTAAAATGAATGTAGCTGAGTAAAATATTTTGTTAGAAATAAACATATGTACTTGAGTTTACTTGAGCTTGCTGCTTTGTGACAACACCTGTTGTTAAAAATGCTATGTAAATAAACTTTGACTTGACCTGACTATAAAACTCAGCAACTGGGCAGTTAATATTGATATGAACAGTAATAAATTAGTAGAAATTAGTATTATAAATTAGTGTTTGGTAGTTATTTGTAGTGATTTCAAGATGTAATGCAGCACTATTTATTCATCCTTGCCTAGTCCTTACATAGTTACCCAGGAAACAGTCTTTTAGAGAGTTACCCAAAAAAGTCTCTGACAGTGTGCAGCAGCACATGTTACTACCTTTTATGTGTCAACACATGATTGTTAGGCTAATCATTCTATAAATTGCCCACATTTAGAGCACTGTCAGATAAAGTCTACCATCTGAAGCAGACCATTCAGTTTCATCAAAAGCTCATTTTTAGAGGGTCACTTGATACTGAGGGATTACTGATAATTGCCTATTTACTCTGAGGAGTATGACTGAATTCAGTCTTGTATGTTTTGAACAATGCAGTTGAATGCAAAAGTGTTGGTGCCCCTGGTCAAATTACGTTTTGTTGATTTTCTAAATGAAAACAAAAATACAAAATGTGGCCTGTGCAAAAGTTAGCCACATTTTATATGTTCTGTTTTTGTTGTTGTTTTTCTTTCAAATATACTAAACTCAGCAAGTAAATAAAAATTGTGAACCAAATGTTCAGAAAAATGCCATATTTAAGGTTATTCCCAGCAGAACATGTGTTAACTTATTTTCACTTAGAAAAACAACAAAACAGAAAAATTGCCCGATGTGTTTAAACTTGTACACACAACTTTATGAGCTGCATCACTTACAGATATACCAGTGTTTATCACTGTCACAAAGATAATCAAACATGCAGTAAATGTTTTTTTATGTACAGTTAATACAGACGATGCTATTAAGAATCTTCTCAGTGCTATGGTGTATCAGAAATCAAGGCTATCTATTCATGTTACTGGTTTGTTTCTCAGTACAGAATACATCAGCTCCTTTGAGTCCTTTGAATTCTCAGAAATGAAGGTCACATTCAAACGATTCCACAAAACAGGACAGCCTTCATTGACGCAAAGGCCAGGAAATGCAGCCTACCTCCGCTGTGTCCTTGGCTCTGAGACACATCTAGTGTAGGTCAGACAGTTTGTGTACCTCTGTGGCGTGACGCAGGGACTAGGATTTCCTGAGCACATGTAGAGCTTTACTTGACCTACGTACTGCACCAGGGATTCCATGACGCTTTTGATTAACCGTAGGGCACAGGGGTCTGGGTGTGCGGGTGAATTTATCTGATCACCTGGTCACAGATTAAAGATTACAGACGCTTCTAAATACTGTTTGACTTGTTCCTCTGCTGCAGAGTCACAGCAACCTCACAGTGGACACTGCTCATCAGGACAACAACAAGGCATGCATTAGCAACTAGGCATAGAAGATTTCAAATTGAAGCAGAGGCTTCCTTTTATGAATTAAGCGTACTGTGCTAAAGTAACTTTTTTTTCTCCTCTCAAGCTTCTTTTTTGCAATGGGTCAGTCAGAGTCTTATGAGAAGGAGCTGGAGCTCTCTGAAATTCAAAGTCTGTACAAGTCTTTTATTATGGAGTGTCCAAGTGGGTCACTATACCTGCATGAATTCAAGAAGATTTTTGGAGTTAAAAGTGGACCGAATCCTGCATCCATATATTTGGATAATGTGTTCAGATCATTCGACGAGAATGGGGTAAGTAGCCTGTCTTCTAGGTAGCGCATAGCCACTGACTTCAAGGTGGATACCTACATTAATACTTATTACTTAAATGGATGTTTTTACAGGACAACACACTGGATTTTATTGAATATGTGGCAGCTCTACACCTTGTGCTCCGAGGGAAGCTAGAAGACAAACTCCGATGGTCCTTTAAAGTTTTCGACAATGACGGCAATGGACGACTGGACGGAGATGAGATAGCACGCATCATAAGGGTATGTTCAACATATTCAATATGGTGTTCCCCAATGGCCATGAGTTAAGGCAGCCTTCATTACTATTGCAATTAGACTGGTTCAAATAGGCCTACTGGACTTTATCTTTTAGATCTTTTAGAGCACTGGTTATTAAACCAGTCCTTAGGCACCCCCAGATTGTCCATTTTTTGGCCATACCTCTATGCATTATGAATTCGATTGGAGCAAAACTGTGGACCATCTGAAGGTCCCTGAGGACCAATTTACGAACCACAGTTTTGGAGTAGTGGCTTTCAAACCAGTCCTCAGGGACCCCCTGAGCTCCTAACACACCTTTACCAAGTATTCAAGCTTGGTTCAAGTATGTTAGAAGATGGGGTAGAGCAAGATTGTGGACCATTTGGGAGGCCCTGAGGGCTGATTTGTGAACCACCACTGTCCTAGAGCACTCTTTCCCAACTCAGACTTTGGAGACCATCACCCAGTGCATATTTTGCTCCATCCCACCCCCCCCCGAAAATGTGAACCAAATATTCATAAATATTCAGTGTTTTTAATTGTTTAGTTGATGCATGTTGGAAGCTAAACAGAGTAGTTGGGTTGGGACACAGTGTGTTAGACCAGTGGTTCCCAACCCAGTCCTCAGGGGCCCCCAGATGGTCCACATTTTTGCTCCAACTCAACTTGCACCACATGAGGATGAAGTTAAAATGTGGACCATTTGTCAGCCATGAGAACCAGAACTGTTGTTTTAGACTTCATTCCTCAGAATAAATGTAATAAAATCATTCAGTGACTTGGATCTTTTGGACTTGGACCCAGTTGTAATATTTTGTCTTGTTTTGTTATGTCTGTAGATCATTTACAAGATCAAACTAGGCAATGTTACAGATGAAAAGGGAAACAGCCTTTCCGTGGAAGAAGTATGTAACCGGGTAATTGAGCGCATCGATCAGAATAATGACGGTGAGTGTTGTATATATGCAATTGAAACACAAAGCAAATAAAAAAGACAGAATTTTCTACATAAAGGTTGTGACACAAAGTTTGTTGCACATAGAATAAGTCTACTCTCAATCTAAAAGGTGTAAAAGGTTGTATGTAGGTCTGAAATGATCATCAGAGACATGATACTGATTCATCCTAGTTCTACTCTTTTGCATGAATGGGATATAGTATCGTGCTGTCCTAAGAGTCATCCCGATTAAAGTAACTGGATAATGGCTAAGATAATGAGGATAATGTGGTTCAGTTTAAGACAGATACTTATATGGGACAGACACTGAACATAAACTTTATATTTCAGTGTCAAGTTCTGTTTTACATATCAATTAATCATTTCTATATTACCATATGTTATTTCTTTGGAGAGAAAAGGTTGCAGCAATTTCCATTCCCAATGGCATGATTCAAAGTTTTACCTATTGTACAAACTTTTCATCTTGGAAAAATCTCTTTTAAACCCATTGGGTTAGCTTAATCCATGAACTGGCAAAAGTTCTGAAGCCATGACATGCTTAGTCTACCACTATTTTTCCACTGACTTCTCTAATGACTTGCTGCCTTGTATCACAACCAAGAAGAAATTCAACAATAATGACAAGTTGAACAAACAAGCATAAAGTCATCATTCTCTTACATGTGCCTTGCTGTTGTAGGTGACATTTCTCTGGAGGAGTTTCTGGAGGGTGCTCAGAGTGACCCCTGGGTCAAAGACTTCCTCAGCCTGGACGCAAATCCCAGCGGTTGGATACAAAATCAACAGGTCAAGGAGGCCAGTGAGACATAAGGCCACTCTAGGTTGGATACACATCAACAGAACCTTTCCTTGACCAAGCACAGAGGTGGAGTATGGGGACAAAGTGATAATTTCTGAATGAGTGTTGGAAAACATCATCCTATACTTGAGTGGGGTCATGACTGTGTCTGGAAACTATGTGGCTTATGAATTAATTTGTCCATCTGTGAACCTGAACGGCCTTTAAACAACATGACACTTTATTCACAGGTGTAATTATCTATGCTGCAAGGCAAAGTTTGGAGACACCTATCTTTTGAAAATGTCTTTAATACATATGTAACATAATGTTGCTTTTTGTCACTTTTTACTTTTTTGCGTAATTTCAAATCTCCAGTCACCCTTTGCATTATGTTAAAATTTCATGATGAATGGGCCAACAGAAATGATTCCAAAATCACTTGGAAAAAAATCCTGTTATATTAACTTCTATTCTAATTTAAGAACGTTTTTTGCTTCCACCGTAAAGTTACCATTTTGCAGGTACAAAGTTTTGTTCTACTGTTGTGATGTGAGCACTGCTCAGCACTCAAAGTGTTTGAACCACTTTTGTATCAAGAAAGTTTCAATATGTGCTCATGAAGCTCATGGATACTCGGAACTAGCTGCATACGTTATTGGAAAGTAACAAGACGTAACTGCAAATTCAAATTTCAAAAGAAAGCAAGGTGTCACCAAACTTTTGGTGGTCAGTGTAGTCTTATAGACTGATGTATGTTCATTTTTATGTCTTACAAATCTCCTAGACATGCTATAGGTTTACTGTCCAGGATTTATTGTATCAAAAAGCCTAGAAAAATCTGAATAACTGATAATATAAGATCCGATATCCAATGAGTTAGTAGAAATGCATCTAAATCTGTATCATCTATATCATTCCAATATCTTTAGACTGTTTAGACTGTTTGGAATATGCAAGTGGCACTTTCAAGCTATACTGCTTAAAGGAAATTTCACCAACCAACAAAATTATGTTTATCAGAGCTCCTAATGCATGTAGAATAACCAGAAAGCATTTCAAAAGATCCCTCAAGCTAGCACGGTTTTGGTTTGTATCTCTTAATAGAGGCATGCTGCAGACATGACTGTCTTTATGTTACCAAGACATTGGATTTCTCTCTCTATTGTTTCTGTCTGGCACATCACAGTGAATCAAACCTCACAAGTGAGTTTAAAATAGGGACACTGCAACATGGAAAATCCACAGACGATTTAGGATGGTCACGACAAACAGCAGATGACGTTAATGGTTTCCTGCACCAAATCCTGTTAAGACAAATTAGGAATCTAACTAGCTCACTGCCATGTTTGAAGGTCAACCAAGTGTGGTGTATACATGCATTCATTTCAGCAGGGATGACTTTATTGAACCTGCTTATGCTGTTGCACTTGCTACCTACAGTGAGCTGTATCAGAGAAACATGTCAAAATGCAAGAGTCAGCTGGAAGCAGAAAAAAAGGTACTGCTGAATATAGACAGCAGGTTGGTGAAATGTCCCTTTGTTGTCTTATCAGACAGGAGTATAATTATAAAAAGGTAAGCTAAGCCATTAAAGACAGATTTTATTTATGTATGTATTTATTTATTTACTTTTGTATTTTTGTAAAAAGCATATTGCCCTTATGTGCCCTAAGAATACTGTTCATCGTCTTATTTTACCCCATCTGGTTTGTGAACAGTGAACAGTGTAACTTTTGTGTTATATCATTATATAAGCTCTGTTTGTTAAGTACCCTTTGTAAATTTACAGATTCATTCGAATTCCAGTAATAATAAAACTGCATAAATCCAGCTGAGTACTGATTGTTGAAACTTGACTTCAGATGTAGTTTAGTGTATCTCAGCAGTGAAGAGGAATCACATATCGCTGTTGTCAGAAGAAAACCTTGTATCTCCATTTTTGATGGTTTTCCCTTTTTGACATAATTTGAAAGTACCTGTTACCCTTTACATTATTTGTAAATTTCATGATCAATAGACTAGAGGAAATGGCCCAAAATGACTTAGAAAAATGTCTGGTTCCATTGACTTACATTAAAAGTACAGTAGGTTTTTTCCTTCTCCTGTAAAGTTACCATTTTGGAGATAAGAGGTTTTCTTCTGACAACAGCAACATGTAATTATTTCATGGGAGGAGGGAGAAATCACAGCACATTACAATATACATATTTATATTCAGTTCCCTGATGTGTACAGTGTGCCTAAACCCTATGCATGCTTTACACAGATTTTTAACTTTGGTTCTCAGTGCTGAACATACAATATAATAATAATAATAAGAAGAAGTTTAAAAATAGAAATCATTTACATTAAATATAAGTAAAACATAAATACAGCGCATTACAGATATATTTTATAATATATTCACAAAATAAATAGCTTACCTTAAAGGTCATAAAAGCAGACTATGTAGATTTCAATAGGCAATAGTTCAGTTGTGACCATGTTTGACAGCAATAAGCATAAAAAAATTGGTAACACTTTGCTTGAACACTGCTACATAATGTTGACATGACCATGTCATGCAATAAATACAATTTGTGTCTAGTTTCTGTAGTTTTTTTTTTTCTTTCTGAGATAAACATATCATTTATTCATTCATATCCATCAGAAAAGTGATAACAACCAGCATTAACAACCAGGTTTACTAACTGAAACTCAATTCCAGTAATTAACTGAAAAATTAAGTTAAGGCGAAGAAAAGGACATTAGGGGAATAAACATTAGTGTCTCCTTCCTTTATGTATGTTAATATTTAATATTTTATCTAATTTAGTATTTTAACAAGGTTTCTAAAGCAATATCTTTTAGAACATTAATGAAATTTTGAGCCAGACGTTTTGGAAAGTAGCTGGGAAACAGTTGGTTTGAACGTGACGCGTGTCTGCATTTGGATAAGTGTCCCAACATTTGTTTGACAGTAAAATGGGGGCTTAGATCAAGGTTTTGTATTTGGCTATTTTTGGGTTGGACCTAAAGTATTGATTAATGAGTTATAGCTGACATAAAGTACTTTTTTAATACGAAAACACATAATTAGCATAATATATTAACACCTTAAATTACTCTAAAAAGCAAGTGATGATAGAGGTGTCCCAAGACTACTTTTCAACACTGTATATTCAAACATTCACTATATATTAAATAAAGAGATTAATATGCCTGGATTTCTCCTGACATACACCACACAATTTTCAAGACTTGACCTTGAAGACACTTTAAAGGCAGACCACAATAAATACTACACTGTAAAGCAAATAGCATTATTAAGAGGAGAGTGTAAAGGCCTGATCTCACTTTTGGCCCTGTATATCACTACAGTTAGGTTGGTTTTAGAGGTCAGTCTAATCTAAACATAAACATGCATGATACAAAGCCAGCTGGACCACTGCCAGCTCCAGCAAAGGAAAACAAGGCTAGTTTTTAAGGAGACTTTTTAAATCTTCTGTCCATATTGTATTACAGTGCTGGCATATGCACAGATAGCTTCCAGAGGAGACTTGAGGCCCTGCCCTTTGCCCTCAAACTGTACAAAGGCCCTCTTGGTATGTATTATAATTGAGTTTTATATGGTTGTTCTTCCAGATCAGTTTCCGTGAGGCTCTGCTCAGCCTTGCTAGAGCTAGTGGGTCAGCTCAGGCTCCACAAGCTTCATCGCTCTTGGGCCCTCCCTCTGGTGCAGTACTGACCGCATACGCCCTCAGTAACTCTGGCCTGTCACACATTACCACAGTGCTGGAAATCCCACTTGTAAAGCACTGATTATTTGTTTAACCCCATAGCGGCCCTAAAGTTTTATTTGCGCTTACACTTCTATAACCTAGGAATAGCTCAACCAGTTTGCACTGAAGTCCCTGTAGTTGTAATAATAAGCCTTAGTATGTAATAAATCTGGGATTTTAAGGGGTTAAGAAAGTGTCACATAGCAATCAGCAGTAGGGGGCGCTAATAACTTGCTAAATCAAGTGTGAATTGCTGAAATGATTTGAGTTGAAAGTGATTTATGCCAGGCTGTGTGGTTCACAGTTCTTGGATGGTGGATAATGTTACAGCCATGTACACTGGAGATTGGTGTTCAATGTGCCCTGTTTGGTCAGTAAGGCTACCAGTTTTGCTGTCTTGGGAAAAAAAAAAGCATTAGGTTTGGTTTCCTCTGAAATTAGACTGACTTAAAAGTGATTGCAATAAACTGTAAATTAAACTAAATTTATTAATTGAATTCATACAAGCTAATGTTGCCCTTTCCCCTCAAGCTCCTGCCACCCAAATAGTATCTGATCAGTGGTGCACCCATTGATTTTGACGTCTGTGTGTCACAATACTAGAGCTACAGTAGCTTGTCACTGTGCACTGCTTGCTTGTCTTCCTTCATTCCATTTAAATTGCACATCACCTCTCATCCTATTACCAGTCAAACCATTGTGTGCAACACCATGCACCAGTCATGTCCGAAATGTATGATCCATGGATTTTCCTGGGATTAGCACTATTGCTAATTGCAATGGCCCTGAGACTAAGCTGGTTAGTGGTTGTAGCTTGGGAGGATTAAAACTGACACCTGAACGATTGGGGTGCAGGCTAAGACGAGCCGATTACATCACTAATATCATCAAAAGTGGTGTGCAAAATGTTCACAGCTGCTGATGTTGCTGCAGCAGTTTTGGAAAATAGTGATGAGGAGAGCATTTTATCTGCTATTTTATTCATGCATTCCACTATTTTTGTGAACCTAAGACTTTGGAAAACCCATTTCAAGCACCAAAACAGTTTGTCCATAAGAGTAATGAGTGAAGCTATGTTTTCACAAGCGCGATTAAGAATGTCTAAAATCAGATTTCATTTTTTCAGCTTTCAGGCCCAGGTGCTTTATACGGTGCTCCAGGTCAAAAGGGCCTCATTATAGAGAGAGCTGAGGTTGTTCTGAATAATATGTGGGTATCATGTCATATGCAAGTGAATACAGGCAAATTTAAAGGTATATTTAATATGC